GCGCCGCGCTACGCCACCCTCGACCACCCCTTCCACTGCCCGCGGGCCCTCAAGGTGCCCAGCTACCTCAACTACAAGTTCCTGGGCGAGAAGGACTGCGCGGCGCCCTGCGAGCCCGGCCGCCCCGACGGCCACATGTTCTTCAACGAGGACGAGATCCGCTTCGCCCGCATCTGGATCCTCATCTGGTCCGTGCTCTGCTGCGCCTCCACCTTCTTCACCGTCACCACCTACCTGGTGGACATGCAGCGCTTCCGCTACCCCGAGCGCCCCATCATCTTCCTCTCGGGCTGCTACACCATGGTGTCGGTCGCCTACATCGCCGGCTTCGTGCTGGAGGAGAGGGTGGTCTGCAACGAGCGCTTCCAGGAGGACGGCTACCGCACGGTGGTGCAGGGCACCAAGAAGGAGGGCTGCACCATCCTCTTCATGATGCTCTACTTCTTCAGCATGGCCAGCTCCATCTGGTGGGTCATCCTGTCCCTCACCTGGTTCCTGGCGGCTGGCATGAAGTGGGGCCACGAGGCCATCGAGGCCAACTCGCAGTACTTCCACCTGGCCGCCTGGGCCGTGCCGGCCGTCAAGACCATCACCATCCTGGCCATGGGGCAGATCGACGGGGACCTGCTGAGCGGCGTCTGCTTCGTGGGGCTCAACAACATCGACCCGCTGCGGGGCTTCGTGCTGGCCCCGCTCTTCGTCTACCTCTTCATCGGCACCTCCTTCCTGCTGGCCGGCTTCGTGTCCCTGTTCCGCATCCGCACCATCATGAAGCACGGCGGCACCAAGACGGAGAAGCTGGAGCGCCTCATGGTGCGCATCGGCGTCTTCAGCGTCCTCTACACCGTCCCCGCCACCATCGTCATCGCCTGCTACTTCTACGAGCAGGCCTTCCGCGAGCACTGGGAGCGCAGCTGGATCAGCCAGAACTGCAAGAGCTTGGCCATCCCCTGCCCGCTCCAGTTCACGCCGCGCATGACCCCGGACTTCACCGTCTACATGATCAAGTATCTCATGACTCTCATTGTGGGCATCACCTCGGGCTTCTGGATATGGTCGGGCAAAACGCTGCATTCGTGGCGCAAGTTCTACACGCGCCTCACCAACAGCAAGCAGGGCGAGACGACGGTGTGAGGCGCCCGGCGCCCTCCGCGCCTTCCTCCTGGGGGTTCATGACTCTCTTATTTTTTATTTTTTTTATTTTTTTTTAAGGTTTATTAACGTCTAAGGGGTGTCTCTCTCTCTCTTTTATTTTTTTTTGTAATTAAACCTGTAAATAGCATTTGTAAATTTAATTATATATTTCTATTTAAAACAAAACCGAAAAAAAAAGAGGAAAAAAAAAACAGGAAAAAAAAGAGAGAAAAAAAAAAGCCGAGAGCGCGAAGAGGCTGGACGGGGAGCGGCAACTCTTCTCCCCTTTTACTTTTTTTGCTACCAAGAGTTGGGTATTCTACTTTTATTTTGGTTTATTTTATTTTATTTGAATTTTTCTCCGTGCTTTCCCTGCCTTTGGCAGCGGCGCCGCGGAGCCGGAGCTGCTGTTTGTGTTGGCCGGGGGGGCCCCGCTCGCAGCCCAACTTCCATAAAAGCCCGGTCTGTGATTGCTCTCCCCCGGCGCGGAGAGCTCGGACATGGAAAGGAGGGAAGGGGGGCGGGAAAACTCCCCTTTTTCTCTCTGCTTTTGGAAACTCACCAAGAAAGTTGTTTTCTTTTTATTTTCTTTAATTTTTTATTTTTTTTTCTCCTCCCCAGCCCGCCGCTATCCCAGAGGCGACGCTGTTTCAGGGGCCGGATTCCATCTCTCTTTAGGCCCCAGCAGCAGGAACGCCGTGTGCGGGAGCGCGGTGATGAGCTCTGATTTGTTCTTTTTATTCCTACTCTTTATTTTTCTATTAATATTTTTTTTTACCCCCCGCCCGCCTTCCCTCCGCCATCGCCCCTTGGCAAATACAACTGACCCAATCAACCCACCGGCCTACTCTTGAGGGTGATTTTTTTGTCCCCACTAATCAACAGCTGGATTCAGTGTGAGGGAGGGGGGTCTCCCATGTGAGCTGCTCCGAGGCCGTAATCGGGTGAAAAAGGGGCTTTTTGCGGATCACGAAGCTGCAGGGCTTTTCCAAGGCCCCCCAGCTAAAACCCACTTCACCACCACACCGGCAACTCCCGAGAGCTGGAGGCAAAGAGTTTTTGCAGTGAAAAAAAAAATCCTTCTCTTTTTTCCTAAGAAAACTTTCTTGGAGAAAAAAAGAAGAAGAAGAAGGAGGAAAAAAGGATTTTCCTGCCCTGGGACACATTTGGCAGCACTGGGCCGGGAGTGTTGGGGACAAACCAACACCCGTGAAGCCCCCCCAAAAGGAAATAGTTCACATTTTCCTTAGGATTAAAAGTGTGAGGTTTTTTTTCTTTTTTTCTTTTCCCGGCTGGTTGCAGGCGCCTTGAAAGCACAAGGGGACCGAAGGCTCCAGCCGGGATTCACACAGATCCGCGCGCCGTCGCCCATGGACCGGGGTGGGGGCACGGTTGTGCGTGGGGGAGCGGGGACGCTGCCAATGGCCCGGATTTCCAACAATAAAGGAAAAAGAAAAGTAAAATAAGAACAACCCCAAATCTTTCCGAAATGACGAGTGGGAGCAGTCTCTCGCCCTGCCTCTTGCCGGGGGGAAAAAACATCCTGTGAAACTCGGCGGTTTCCCTGATTTTGGGGAATCAGTCACGAATCGGCCACCTCATCCCGCCGAAGCCATGGATCCTGAATTTCTGTAGGTCGATCCCATCCCGTCCTGATTTTTCCCGGCCACAGAGCCAGAACACCAAAGGGTTAATCCCAGTGCACTTCTCCAGCGCACATCGGAGAAAGGGGGGAAAAAAAAGAAACCCTTTGGATCCGGTTTAAT